AATACATTTACATTTATCATTGGGTGTTTGTACCAGAACATGATGTATCTTAGTTCTTATTTTTTCTCCCATTACCTGTGCGCCCTTTACCCCCACCACCCTTCCCCATTTACACAGAGTTTGATTCCATTTTTTTTTCTCATAATTTTTCCTTTCCCTTCTTCCCTTTCCCCTTCCCCTCCCACCATCCCCAAACCGTTGGACCTTTTCTTATTTCAAATTATCAATTATTCTTTTTAATCATTTTCATCCTTATTTACACTTTCAATTTCTCACACTAGAGAAACTATTCTGTATTTACATGTGTGTCCTACACTTGATCTTAGCCAAAAGGCCGAGAAGCGATTACACGTGTGTCCTATTTATTGCATTTAAGAGTATGGCCTCAATATGCATCCATTTAGCTATAAATGTCTTTAGTTTCTCATTCTTTATGGCTGAGTAATACTTCATTTTATAAAAAACCCACATCTTCTTTATCCAGTTTCCAGTTGATGGGTACTTGGGCTATTTCCAAGCTTTAGCTATTACAAACTGTGCCGCTATAAACATAGATGCACATAAATCGCTGTGGTGTGATTCTTTTAATTCTTTGGGGTCGATTCCCTGTAGGGGAATAGCTGGGTCAAATGGGACCTGTAGTCCTACTTCTTTGAGGTATCTCCATACTGATTTCCACAGTGGTTGCACCAATCTACGTTCCCACCAACAATGGAGAAGTGGTCCTTTCTCTCCACACCCCCGCCAGCATTTGTTATTGGTTGGTTTCTTGATAGCCATGCTTTGTGCGGTGAGGTGGAATCTCAGTGTTATTCAGAAAGATTTTTTTAAATGAGTAGGGACGTACGCAGTTTTAGTTTGTTTTTTTTTAAAATACACTCCAGAGAGTGAGGAGGCTGATTGTCTAATAAATAAGAATTGAGGGGATTTAGCTCAGTGGTTCTCCCGCCTGTCCTGCAAGCGCAAGGACCCAAGTTCAATCCCTGATACAAAAAAAATATAAATAAATAAGAATTGAGATGGCTTCATTTTCAGTGCTGCTTGCTTTTCATAGTAGAACTTGAAAGAGTTAAATACAGTGGTACCTTGGTTCACGAACTTAATTTGTTCTACAATTTTGGAAAAGATTGCAACGTGTGTGTTTGTGTGGGGAAGATGGTTGTGGTTGTGTTTGTCACGTTATGCAGAGTTTGGAAACAAAAACAAAATTTTGCCAAACACGTCTGTTTGCAAACCAAATTGTTTGCAAACAAAAGTGGCCATGAGCCGAGGTAACACTGAATAGTCATAATCATTCCAGTAACCCTTCTACTCGTACTTCACTAAAATTGTTCTTATGCTCACTAAAGACTTTCATGTTCTCAAATCCAATTGACACTTCTCTGATCTTTCTTGACCTTCTTTTTTTTTTTTTTTGGTACCAGGGATCGAACTCGGGTCCTTGCACTTGCCCAGTAGGCGGCGAAACCACTGAGCTAAATCCTTGGCCCTCTTTCTTGACCTTCTGGCTGCATCCTAAGCATTTGATCTTTCTCATCTTTTAATACACTTTTCTCTCATCTTCAGTACACTGCTGTTCAGATGGTGTATCACTGAATTGCTTTCTTAGTCATCAGGGGCAGGTCTTCCTTTCATGCTCACACTCGAGAATGTTGAGGTTACCCAGGGATCAATCCTGTGATGTTGTCTTAGTTGTTTTTCTATTGCAGTAACAACTCCAGAGACTGGGTTGTTTATAAACAGTAGTTTGGCTCATGGTGGAGTCAAACTGGATGGAGGCTTAGAAGTCCAAGAGCATGGGAGAGCCCTAATGACTACATCATCTGTTAAAAGTCCTAGCTCTTAATACTGTTACAATGGTAGTTAAATTTCAACATGAGTTTTGAAAGAGACATTCAATCTATATCAGCTATCTACATGTCTGTCTATACTCAACCATGGTTGTACATTAGAATCACCGGGGGATTTTCCTTATAGCAGTATTTCAGTTAGTACATGAAGAAGGAATGATAGAATAATATTAGTATTTGATAACCACTGATGAAATAAAGATTTTAGACAGTGGTCATCAATGGCTGCTGTAAGGATTAGATAAAAACTGTTGAGGAACTTTGTAGTGGGTGAATTGATTGACAATACCTGAATCCATCACTCAATCTTAACCTCACAGAAAGAGATTGCCAGAGATACCTCTTCTGAAATATTCTTTTTATTTTATTTTATTTTTTATTTTTTTCTGAAATATTCTTGTCCCCCTCCAAAAAAAAAAATCTTTCCTGAAGCTAATCAGGTGTCTAGACCTGATTACCTACTATTACTTACTGATTACTTACTATTACTTACCTGATTACTTACTATTACTTACTATCAGCTTACTAAAAGAAACAGAAGGCATATTGTTAAGTGATCCCACAGGGTTGTAATCAACAAAATTCACTGGGAAATTATTATAAGAAAAAAGTGGGAATTTAAGATTTAAGAAATGTATCTGCTGAATGTTTGAATCCTGATAAAATCTTGTAAAACAATAACAGCAGAAGTGACAATTAGGGAAATTTGAACACTGATTGATATTTGGTAATATTAAGGAATTAAACCTTTTGCTTTTTTTTTTTTTGGTACCAGGGATCGAACTCGGGTCCATGCACTTGCGAGGCAGGAGGCGGAACCACTGAGCTAAATCCCTGGCCCCATTCATAAACGTTTAGTATGTCTCTTTAAAGTAAACTTTTATACCAAAAAAGGTTTAATTCCTGGGGTGAGGATTTAGCTCAGTGGTTACTAATGGTCAATAAATAGTTCTGATGAAAAGAATTAACAAAACCATTATTGTAGACAAACTTCTTTAGCTGATCTGAAGGTCTTAATTTTGTATAACACTGTGAGATATAACAAATAAGCAACACTCACATATCTTAGAGAATGTTGTGCATTTGGGATGGTTGATAGGATTGTTTTGATTTATTCTTTATCTCTGATCTCTCCAAAGCTGCATTATTTTGAGTCAGAGATTGATTTGAATGACATTAACCCCTCTCTCTCTTTTTTACTGTATTGTCCAGGCTGGTCTTAAACTCCTGGGTTTGATCCTCCTGCTTCTGCCTCCCCAGTAGCTGGGACTACAGGTGCTGCACCACTTATTCCTGACATGAGGCTATGTTCTTTTTCAGGTTTTTCTACCAATTCATTTGGAGGAGTTGGGATGAAGAGGAGGAGGATGAGTATGATTATTTTGTCAGATGTGTTGAACCCCGTTTGAGATTGTAAGTATTTCCTCTACATTAGTTGGAAAAGTGGTTAACCATGGATTAATTTTATTGTTGTGACACACACACACACACACACACACACACCTGCAATAGACACATAGACACAGACTCTAGGGACCTACAGACAGAAATAGACTGATAGACAAATAGTATGACCCCTTGATAAGTATTAAATGAAACTTATGCAAAGGCAGAGACATCTGTTCTGAGTTTTAAAGCAGAGGTCGAGTGCTTGGTTTGGCAGCACATATACTAAAAGCAGAGGTCAAGAACATCACAGGTAATAACTTATTGTTTGTAAATCTGAATAAAACTCAGGTGAACCAAAGTGCTAAAAGCCCTTTGTTAGGGGCTGGGGATGTAGCTTAGTGGCCCTGTGTCTGCCTGGCAAGGATTAAACAATCCTTGGTACTAAAAAACCCCCCAAAAACCAAAAATAAAAGCTCTTTGTTAAATTCAGACATTTGAGGGCCGGGGATTTAGCTCAGTTGTTCCACCATCTGCCTTGCAAGTGCAAGGACCTGAGTTTGATCCCCGGTACCAAAAAAAAAAAAAAAAA